GTGACATGCTGTTTTGATTACTATAGCCTTGTACTATAGTTTGACACCTGGTAGTGTGATACCTCCAACTTTCTTTTTTTCCCTCAAGATTGCTGTAGCTATTTGGGGTCTTTTATAATTCCATATACATTTTTAGATTATTTGTGTTAGTGCTGGGAAACACATTATTGTTTTTAAAAGTAGGAATTGCATTGAATCTATATAGATTGCTTTGGATAGTATGGATGTTTAAAAAATGTTAATTCTTCCTATCCATGAGCACAGTATATGCTTCCATTTATTTATAACTTCTTCAATTTCTTTCTTCAGTGTCTTATAATTTTCTGCCTACAGGTCTTTTACATCCTTGGTTAAATTTATTCTTAGCTATTTTATATTTTTGATGCAATTGTGAAGGGGAATGTTTTCTTAGTTTCCCTTTCTGATAGTTCATTATTGGTGTATAAAATCGCAAACAATTTCTGGATATTTATTTTGTATCTTACTACTTTACTGCATTTATTTATCAGTTTTAATAGTTTTTTGGTGGAGTCTTTAGGGTTCTCTATTTACAGTACCATGTCATCTGCAAATAATGACAATTTGCTTCTTCCCCTCCGATTTGGAGGCCTTTTATTTCTTCTTGTCTGATTGCCATGGCGAGGTGTTGCAGTCCTTTGTTGAGTAAGCATGGTGAAAGTGGACATACCTGTCTTAAGGATAACCTTTTCATTTTTTCCCTTGAGTATGATGTTAGCTGTGGGTGTGTCAGACATGGTCTTTTAATAAAGACCATAAGTTAGGTATGTTCCTTCTATTCCCATTTTGCTGAGAGTTTTTTTTTTTTTATCATAAATGGGTACTGGATTTTGTCAAATGCTTTCCCTGCATCTATTGATAAGACCATATGGTTTTTATCCTTTGTTTTGTTTATGTGGTGTATCACATTTATTGATTTGCAAATATTGTACCAACTTTGCATCCCAGAATAAATCCCACTGGATCATGTGTGTGATCTATTTAATGTGTTGCTGGATTTGGTTTGCTAATATTTTGTTGAGATTTTTGCATCTATATTCATGACAGATATTGGCCTATAATTTTCTTTCTTTGTAGTGTCTTTACCTGGTTTTGGAATTAGGATAATGCTGGCTTTGTCAAATGAGCTTGGAAGTCTTGCCCTTTCTTGAATTTTTTGGAAAAGTTTGAGAAGGATAAATCTCAACCCTGGAAAATTTTGTAAAATCTCAACCCTGGAAAAAATCTACATATTACTAGTCATAAGAGAAAAAAATACATTTGGTGAATTGGTGCTATCACAAGTTCATGATTCTCTACCTCAATGTTTGGTAATCTTTCCACGTCTCCAGAAGTCAGTTACATTTTGCTCATTTCCTTCTTTATTTAAAATTCCTAATGAACTTCTCTCTTCCGGTGCAGCAGTTTGCTTTACTTGCTACTTCCCTGAGAAAACATATGCCCGTCAGTAGAAATTCCTTCAATTTATTGCTATTTTATCTGCATTTCTGCACAGCCCTGTTATGTGTCTATCTCTGCACATCCCCATCTCAATGGGAGATGTATCCTCCCCCTGCCTATCACTTATCATTCTCTACATCTCATCTCTTCTTCTTTTCTTAATCTTTATCTCTGTTCAATCTCCTGCTCCCTGGCACATGGAGAAGCATGTCCCTCTCAACAAAAAGCAACACTCCACCAATCTTGAAACCACTCCAAAAAACCCCTCCAACTGTTCTTGCACCTGGCTGGTGTATCTCAGTGGTTGAGCATCGACCTCTGAACCGGGAGGTCACAGTTCTATTCGCAGTCAGGGCACATGTCCGGGTTGCAGGCTCCAGTGTGGGGCGTGCAAGAGGCAGCCGATCAATGATTCTCACTCACAATTGATAAATGGGTACTGGATTTTGTCAAATGCTTTTCCTGTATCACAATTGATACAGTGGGGCCTAGACTTAGGAGTGTCCCGACTAACGAGTTTTTTGAGATACCAGCTGTCTCTCAGCCAATTTTTTGCATTGAGTTGATAGAGTAATTTGAGTTAACGAGCTCCTTAACAAGCTCGGTCTCGAAAGGAATTAAACTCGTAAGTCAAGGCCCCACTGTATTTCTATCTCTCTCTCCCCTCCTATCTGAAATCAATAAAAATATATTAAAAAGAAAAAATCTGTACTTGCTCCAAGCTAACCAACTTTCAATGAACTCTTAGATGAGAATGAGGCCAGGCACAACAAAAATGAGACTTTAAGCAAAGTGTTGATAATCTGCATGCAAAGACACTAACAAAAAGTATTTTTTTGAACACTCCTTGTGGCAGGCCTACCATCATCTAAGTGAACTCATAGTTCTGACAGAACATTGGGAAGAAGGAAAGGAGACAGTGCAAGGCCAAGTCAGTAGATACGACTTCTTTCTGATCACAAGATGGAAATAACAAAATTTATTTTGCCGAAGCCAGGTAATTGGACAGAGGAGGATGGAGACCAAGCAAGATCATGATGGAGTCAGTGAGAGTCCGGAACAACAGCCATAGAAAGGAATGGCGTTCTGATTCACGCCACTCCACGGAGGCAACCTGCAAACATGACGCTACGTGGAAGAAGCCACAAGGAAAGACCACATAGATACATGACTCCATTTGTAGGAAATGCCCAGAATAGGCCAAGTTTTAGAGACAGAAAGTAAATTGGTGGCGACTGGGACTGGGAGGTGGTGGAATGGAATAGGAAATGATTGTTAATAGAGATAGCTACTTACGGGGAAGACCAACATTTTCTAAAATTAGATTATGGTGATGGTAGCACAGCCTATGAAAATATTAAACTTTCAATGCCATACTTTAAATGGGTGACTTTCATAGCATGGGGATTATATCTCAGTAGAGCTGTTAAAAATTTGGGCATAAAGAGGGGCGTCTTAATGGGCAGCAATAAGAGTAAAGTTTTATTTTTCATATTAGGAAATAAATAGATATTGAAAATGGATGAATTCTAAAATAGTGATGAAAGATTAGTAGGAAACAGAGAAGTAACTATTAGGAGGACTAAATTCAGAAACAGGCAGAAGTGAAGTGTCTGGGATGGGCAACGGGGTGTGGGAAGTGCTGGAGCCAGGAACTATTGCTTTTCACTTTAAATTCTTTATTATTGATATTTAAAAATATTTAAAGATTTTACCTAAAATTTTTAGGATATTACAAAAATATACATTAGGTTAGTGAATAAGATCATTCTTTTCCTTGCACAGACTTTGTCTGTCATTTTGGGCCAAGTTAGCTTCATCTCAACTACCTCGAACACCAGGCAGATGCCATGGCTCCTTCCATTACATAGTGAGCAACTGGGCTCACGGAGTTGCATCACAGGGTCCGGATTCTTACCTATGAAGACCTGGGTCTATAAAAACCTGTCAGGTCTTTATCTCACTTTGCAAATTGTTGTAGTTTTGCTAGTTTTATAGTCTTAATTGGTCATTCAGTGGCTCATCCTTCACTTATTTTTTTATTTTTATTGATTTCAGAGATGAAGGGAGAGGGAGAGATAGAAACACCAATGATGAGAGTGAATCATTGATTGGCTGCCTCCTGCACGCCCCCTACTGGGGATTGAGTCCACAACTCGGGCATATGCCCTTGATCAGAATCAAACCCTTTAGTCCAGCCATGGGCAAACTACGCTCCGTTTGAAATGAATAAAACTAAAAAAAAAAAAAAAAGACCGTACCCTTTTATGTAATGATGTTTACTTTGAATTTATATTAGTTTACACAAACACTCCATCCATGCTTTTGTTCCAGCCCTCCGGTCCCGTTTAAGAACCCATTGTGGCCCTTGAGTCAAAAAGTTTGCCCACCCCTGCTTTAGTCTGTAGGCCAACGCTCTATCCACTGAGCCAAACTGGCCAGGGATTCTTCACTTAATATATGTATTTACTGAGTGCCCATCACACGGGAAGCACAGTGCTGGAGACTGGGGATATTCTAGTGAGGACACTTAGTCCCAAGGAGCTGTCATTCTCCTAGGAAGACACAATTGTCACTAGATAATTACCATGTGACACACAAAAAGAAGGGTGCCCTAGGAGCACGTGGGAGGGGAGCCTAGCACCTTGGAAGTCAAGTAAGGCTTCCTGGAGGTGGTGACATTGAAATTGGTGTGTAAAGGATGAGTAGAAGCTAGCCTGGTGAAGGGGATGCTGGAGGGGAGACAGAATGTTTGGGATATTAAACGGCTGCTGTGTAGAGTATATAAAGAGAAGGGCAGGAAAATGTAGGCAGAATAATGAACCTCCAAAGATGCCCAGGTCTTAACCCCCAGAATCTGTATATATGTTACTTTACATGGCAAAGGGACTCTGCAGGTGTGATTAAATTAAAGACTTGGAGGTGGGGAGATAATCCTGGATTATGAGTAGACCCAATAGAGTCATAATGGTCTTTATGAGGAAAAGAGGGAACCCATTTATTTGTTCAACTTCTAGAACTGTTATCTTAAGCCTCTAAGTTTATGGTAATTTGTTATAGCAGCAATAGGGCATTAATGATGTAAAGTAGGCTGGAGAAGTAGGGAGGAACTGGAGGACTGAGTTTCCTGAAAGCCCTTTAAGGAGTCTGAGCTTCATTCCGAGGGCCAGGGGAGCCTGTGAAAGGGTCGCACTTGTATTTCAGAATGATGCTCCAGCTACAATAAAGGGAGTGGGTGGTGGCGGGACAAAATCTCCTCATGAGCCTGCTACTATGGATTCTACCTCACAGAGCCCAGAGCTATGGTCCCTGGCGTGGGTTCAGCAAGAACCCTGATCTCTGTATGGTTAGCAGGTACTGGGTATTGCATAATGAGCCCTCAATCTGGGATAGAGAACCCGACAGATGCAAAGCGTAAAAGTGCACGGTGCTGGCGCAGCCTTGGCCCCAAGAAGGCGCTTTCTCACCTTGATTTTCCACATCCTTTAGTGGGTCCACCCCTGGAGACAGGATGAAAAATATGGGAGTGGCTGGTCCTGATTCTTCAAACGAGGTTGCAAAGTCTAATGCTCTTCCCACCACGTATTTGCTTCCTAATGTCTCCTCAACAAAATGCCTTCCAGAAAAAAGAGCACACAAACGTTTATCAGTCACAAAATACTAACATCTGAGACACAGGTCTAGAGAAATGGAAAGATGTGCTCCAGGTCATGGGCTTGGTAGCCACGGAGCTGGGACCAACTCCAAGCACTTCTTGAAAAGTCAGCGCTTAACATCTGTGTGGCTAGTTGCCAGCTGGCACATCCAGATCATGGCTCCTTCTGCATCCCCACCCACCCAGGCCCCCGCTGACTCCTCTGTGAAGCCTGGTGTTGGGACATCCCCATCACCCCTCAGAAGACTGCCAGAAACAGTGCCTTCGAAAGCTCGCAGCCGCTAAATCCTCCACACTTCACATCCCTGTGGTCCTCCACCCATCATTTAAGGCTCTCCAGTCTTCTGTTCCCTCATGTTCTATCATTACCTGCATTTCTCTTCATCTGACTCTACTTACCTGTGATCCTTTTCAAAGTGTCCCATTTTATACTAAATAAAACCCTGAAGCTGCAACCACATACTGATCATCTGGTCCAGCGCCTGGCTTTAACTCTTCCTCAAGGACACTATTTTTCCTGTAGCCTTTCAGCTGGGCTCATTCTTCTACATCTGATGTGTCTCAGGATTGGAAGGTAAGATCATGTTCCTGCTCTCAGATGACTATTATTTATAATCAATTTACTTCTCTGCTCTGGCTCCATTACAGCTCATTTCCCCTGATGTGTCACCACCGTATCTGCACGTCAATGTCATCTGTTGCTCCTTTGCTCACTGTACTTGTTCACTGAACACTTGGACCCTTGGCTCATGGGCTTTCCATCACCTGGATGACATCAGCATCCAAGTGGACAATCCTCCAGGTTATTATTTTTTAAAAATATATTTTATTGATTTTTTTACAGAGAGGAAGGGAGAAGGAGAGGGATAGAGAGTTAGAAACATCGATGAGAGAGAAACATCGGTTCAGCTGCCTCCTGCACACCCCCTATTGGTGATGTGCCTACAACCAAGATACATGCCCTTGACTGGACTCGAACCTGGGACCCTTCAGTCCACAGGCCTCCTCCAGGTTCTTATCAATCTTCATTTCTCCCCATGCAGCCACCTGATCCCACGGGCATGCCCTCATCCTTGTTCCTACTTGGGAACTTTTTCTATGTCTGAAACTATGTATGGAAACATCCCACCCTCTGACCAGAACTTTCTATCCTTACAGTCCTTTTAGCAATTTGCCCTTCCTTCACTTATTTTTTTGTCTGTATTTGGTGCCATGACAAATGCAGTATCTTGACATGTCTAGTGTTTTTCTTTTTGTTTTGTTTTTTAAAAATCATTCCCTTACTCTCTTTATTGCTTTCCTATCCAGTGTAGAGTCTATGGTCTGTAACTCATTTCTTTTAAAACAACGTTCTCGAGGTATAATTGACATACCATAAAATTTACCCATTTTAAGTGTACTATTCAATAATTTTTAGTAAAGTCACTAAATTCTACAATCTTCACCATAAACCAGTTTTAGAACAATTTTATTCTGCCAATAGGTTTTTTGCCTTATTAAATAACTGCTATTCCCACTTAAACCAGTTTTAGAACAATTTTATTCTGCCAATAAGGTTTTTTTGCCTTATTAAATAACTGCTATTCCCACCATCCAGCTCCAGGCAAGTACTAACTAATCTGCTTTCTGTCTCTATAAGATTGCATTGCCTGTAACTTCTAATCACTCTCTTGCCCAAACCGCATTTCCTCAACCTGACTCATTCCAACACACCAAGTTGGAATCACCAGTGCTCTGGATCAACGTAATTCTGAACCTATACCTGGGCTGTTGTATGCAGAACCATCTAATGGTGAGGACTGGTGCTGCTACAATGCAGGGTCTTAACTAGCTGGGCCCTCAATGCTACTTGAAATTGGTCGAGTTTCCCTTGTTGTCCTTCTCACTCTCTTGCCCAAACCGCATTTCCTCAACCTAACTCATTCCAACACACCAAGTTGGGATCACCAGTGCTCTGGATCAATGTAATTCTGAACCTTTACCTGGGCTGTTGGATGCAGAATCATCTAATGGTGAGGACTGGTGCTGCTACGGATGCAGGGTCTCAACTAGCTGGGTCCTCAATGCTACTTGAAATTGGTTGAGTTTCCCTTGTTGTCCTTCTCTCATTTTTTCACAGACCCTTTTCCAAACATTCTGCCCTCTCCTCCAATCTCCAACCCTGTCACCTCCCCTTTCCCAGAAACTCAATTGAGGATCTTGCTTCCTCCTTCTCAGAGAAAATAGAAGTCATCAGAGAAAAGCCTTCTCAATTTTCAATCATCCTTCTACCAGCATAACAACAGCCGCACTCATCTCTCTCCCTCTTTCTGATGAGAGGGATGTTCTGCTAAGGATGGCCCTTCCATCTGGGCTCTGCACCCATCTCCTGCCACCGTAGATGTGACCAGCATCCTTCTCGGTACTGTCCACCTAGACATTAGGAAAAGACCTGGCAAACGCAGGCCTTGTGGGATTTTGGAAGTTGGTATGGAGACTTCTGTTACTATACACACATGGCTTTTGTGCTCAGCCCTGCTAGTTTGGCCACACTGAGACTGTGCCTGTCCTGGGCCTCCCCCTGGCCCCTTCCCTACCGCATGGCATAGGTCATCCGGTCTGGACGCATGGCCCTCATCATGCAGAGGCGCTGCAGGGCCGTCTTGCTCTTCCACTCCTGCGGGAACTTCTCCTTCTCAGGACATTCCGATTCTACGAACTTCTTCCAGCTCTTGGCAGATCCCTCAATGTCCCGGTCCAGATTACAGAATTCCTCCATGGCGGACAGAGCCTAGGGAAGTTCAGAGAATCGTGCTCTGAGATGCAGGTTCCCACAGTGGAGACTTGCATTGAGTTGTGGGTTAAGCAGCGAGATGCTATTACAGATAGAATTCTGTCTCATTTATACTCTCTCCTGGAGCCTGGAATCTTCTTCCAGGTAAACTCAAGAAAGAGGAAGGATTTTGATCAGATCCCCTTTAGCAAACTGCCCCAATAATGTGCAAGGTTTAGCAAAGAGAGTGTTTGGGATGTTATCAGAGCAGAGACTGAGCAGCACCTGCCTGCAGGGTATTGCATGGAAAAGGGACAAGAGGGCTGTCATATTTTTCTGGTCAAGGAGCCTGGACATGTTAAGTGTCTGACTCCTCCTTTTCATTCCCGTATTCACTCTGCCAGCAACTCCTTGCTAAGGATTGACTTTGTATTAATGCCAACTCTAAAACTTCCATGAATTGCCAGCTTCCATAAGGATTGTGTCCAGGTGCATAACTTGTTAATCAGGTCTCTTCATTTGGCGCTTCCCTCCAATCCATCCAGTTCACCAGGGAGCAGACTGCCCCCCCCCCCCCCCTTTTCCCTCCCCCCCCCCCCCCCCCCACTCTGTCCGTCCCCAACTTTGGAAATGTGCCAGACTCATTCCCAACTGAACTCCTTGGTCACAAAGCCACATCAGGTCCTGTTCTCTCCACCAAATTCTACCCCTTTCTTGTGCTGGTTCTATAAATTGTCAAAGTCCAGTTGCAAGTCAGCAACCTCCCTCATACACGTTCTCTCTAACCTAGAACACATGGCCCTCCCACTTTTTTTTTTTTTTGTGGAGCACAGAGTTGATATCTTTGTTTTAAAAAAGATATTTTTTATTTTTAAATTTGCAAGTTCCTTGGTTGATCTCTTCCCTCCCACCCATCCACCCACCCACCCACCTCCACTTTCCCTCTGAGATTCAACCGTCCGTTCCATGCTTCTATGTCTCTGGATCTATTTTGTTCATCAGTTTATTTTGTTCATTAGATTCCACATACGTGTGAGATCATGTGATACTTGTCCTTTGCACAGAGTTGTTATGTTTAGTAAAGAGATTGACTCAATTTTTAGATATTTGACTGCTGATAGCGTTAAGCCTCATGCCTCGCTCTCCTCTGCTGTTCCACATCTGGGCAAGCGGATAAGTAAGCCTCGGCACCCCCTCTCTGGTGTGGAGGGAAGTTGCACCACGCGAGCCCTGCCCATGCTCCGGAACTCTCACCCTGGCTTCACCCCATAACTTCCATAAGACGCCACGGTAGTCTCCTTTCCTGGCTCCCTCAAACCATTCACAGACTGCTCCCTGCTCTCCCCAGAAGGTCTTATGTGAATAATAAGCTTTTCCATACCTTCTTAGGTATGTGTGTGGCATCGTCTGCCGACATTGGAACCAACTTTTGGGGGGTGTTGACCCTGTTTCCTCAGGGTGCCCACACACTCATCACTTACTTAGACAGTTGCCTGCAGCCTTTCCACTGTTACTCAGCTCTGCTTGTGTGTTTGGTCTCTCCAATGATATTAGAAACTAGACTTTGTCCAAAGCACCTACCACAGTGCCCCGAGTTTTAAGGAACCTACACATTCTTGTCATTTGAATTCATTCATTTGATATTTATTGAATGCCTACTACTAGTACATGCCAGGCACTTGGGGATACAAAGTTGAACATAAAAATACACTTGCCTTCCAAAAAAGCTTACAATCCTAAGCTCAAGAGAAAGAGGAGATGAAGGAGGCCTTAGGAAGTTTGTAGGATTCTGTTGGGCAGAACTAGAGGTCGGGAGAAGAAAAGGTATTTTATGGGGCAGGATCAACAGGAGCCAGCATGTGGAGGGGAGGAGTGTGGGGCACGACAGGGAGGAATGTCACTGCAGTAGGAGAGTCTTACGGTGACCAGGGGAAAGCCAGGCTGGAGGAGGACATGGGGCTGGACCCGGGCTTCCCAGGCTCTTCTCCCGAGTGCCTGAGCACCTGTCCTGTCTTTCTGTGCCTTCCACACGGGCTCTGTGGCTTCTCAGCTTCACCCTGGCCGCTCAGAGCAGGGAGCACTCCTTCGCTCATGTGGGGAGTGGAGTGCAGCTGGGGGCAGATGGTGGAGGAGGGGCCGGGAAGTGCGAGTTCTGGTCCCAGGGACAGCTCTCCTGAGCATCTTCTGACCTTTGTGGCTTTAGATTTTCTCATTTGGAAAATGAGGCCATGTAATTGTTCGCATAGCTCACACGCTAATGTAGATACAAGTGCCATGAAAACTCTACAGCCCTTCCCGTGCTTTCTTGGGGCTTCTGTAGTTATTGAATTGTGATTTCGGGTTTATTTGCTGTTCTTCCTGCAAGACTGTGAGTTCCCTGTGGGCAAGAACTTTCTTAGTCATCTGTGTATGCCTCCGGCCTAGCAGCTGTCTGGAACTTAGGAAGTGCTCAATTAATCAAGTTTGACATCTGGGCGGCCAGCAGGAAGGCTCTTAACAGGCCGAGGAAAGCTGCGGCCGCTGTAATTATCTCTCTGTGTGCCGGGAAGTCGTGTTCATCTCCTTCTGGCAGCACTCCGGTGCCTCTGCCCAGCTTGCATCATCATTAACCCTCTGCAGCCCCGTTACCCCCTCTGGCGGTCACTACAGTACTGAGCAAATGACACTGCCATTGGGGCTCCCAGCTGCCAGGACTGGGGCTGAAACACGCTTCCTTGAAGCTCTGGATTGAACACAATTGCAACATTCAATCTCCCAAATGAGGGAAAGGCATTTCTAAATAAGTTAAATGGAAATGACTAATTAACCTAATTACCTTGGACTGTGTAGCAAAATACCACGGTGCTAAACCGGCATCCAGAGCGGCGGTGAGGGGCCTTTGAAAGGCTAACACAGGCGTGCATCACAGATGAGATTTTCTAATGAAGAGCAGAACAGTCCCAGTGCCTTCAAGTTCCGCATTTGATTAAACTTCAAATATTCTAACAAAGGGTCCTAATAGAAGCAATATGTTATCACAAAGATTTCATTCATTACCTGCCTATTAGGGCTGCTGCGGAAACAAGGCCATCCATCTTCCTCGTCAGACGGAATGTTTAAAGAATTTTGTTTCATCGTGTCCTATTCAATTATACTGTAGTCTGTTTCTTTAGGCTAAAATCCAACTGAACACTTAAAAAGAGCATTTATCAAAGGCCTCAGTGATGGGCACTGCACACCGCGTTGTATTTACATGGGCTCACATCCCGCGCTGCGCTCGAGTGTGGGGCTGACTCGCTGCTCCCCTAGCAGAACTCAGAGATGGGGAGAGATAAAGCCTCACTCATCTGCAAAGCTTTTAAGCAGCCAGATGAGCTCAGCCCACAAAACAAAACAAAAAATGCAGAGCGAAAAAAAGCAAACCAAACAATCCATTTTGTGGAAAGAGGAACGGAACTAAATTGCACAGTAGCTTTAGAGTTGTCGATAATGCTTTTGAGCCATTTATTCTCTGTAACTTCTGCTGCCTGAGGGCTTTGTGGGTAATAGAGTGAAAGGCAACTGGATTTGGCCCAATTTGGCACCGCACAACGGCTCGAAGTTTTTCCTTCCATGGACAAATGCTATAAGGTATAACCCACACCAACGACAGCATGTACAGACCTTTGAGATGGGTAATTAACAATCATAACTGTGATGGGGTGAGTCGTGTCCACCAAAAAGATAGGTTGGAAAACGAACCTCCCGGATGTGTAAACTTGAGCTTATTTTAAAATAGGGTATTTGCAGGTGTAATCCGGTTGGGATGAGTCAGCAGGATGGGCCATAGTCTAACATGACATGCTTTTTAAAAAAACATATTTTATTGATTTTTACAGAGAGGAAGGGAGAAGGATAGAGAGTTAGAAACATCGATGAGAGAGAAACATTGATCAGCTGCCTCCTGCACACTCCCCATTGGGAATGTGCCTGCAACCAAGGTACATGCCCTTGACCGGAATAGAACCTGGGACCCTTGAGTCCATAGGCCGACGCTCTATCCGCTGAGCCAAACTGGTTAGGGCTGACATGCTTTTTTAAGAGAAAAGATGGAGACACACAGAGGGAAGATGGCCATGCAGAGACAGCAGGGATGGGGCCAGAGACTGAAGTGATCTTGCAACAAACCAAGGCACGCTGGGGCTATCAGAAGCTGGAAGATGGAGGAAGGATCCTCCCCTTGCGGCCTTTATGAGGAGCCATGGCTTGCCGAAACTTGACTCAGACTTCTAGCCTCCAGAACTGTGAGATAATAAATTTCTGCTATTTTAAGCCACCTAGCCTGTGGTACTTTGTTATGGCAATTCTCAGGAACAAATATCATAACCATAACCATAACCATAACCATAACCAGACCCAGAACCAGCTTCTATTTACTGAATATCTGTATGTCCGACATAATCCTGTGAGGTAGGTATTTTAACGGCCGTTTTGAAGATAAGGAAAGAAAGTCTCAGAGGAATAAGGAACATGTAGAGGCTGCACACACTCAAACTTGAATCCGGAATGTCTGACTCCGGCCTTTGTTAGCTAGTTCATCCCCATCACTGCTCCCGTTCTCAGATACTCTCATTCAGAACTGCTTTCCATAATGTATTTTCCACAGGGCATCAGGCTATGCCTTTATTCTCAAGCTCTGGGGCAGCACTGTCCAACAAGGTAGCCACTGGCAAAATGTGAGTGCAGAGCAAATAAAATGTGGCCAGTGTGACTGAGGAAACGAAATCTTTGATTTTAACATCAAATACTATTATTTTAACATCAAATATAGAAATTGGAACCTGCTTTAATAATTGGAAAACTTTTAAGAATGTTTGAAAAAACTTGGGTATATGGATCAACTGTTTTATCTCTAAAATTTTCTGAAATATAAATTCAAATAAAATATTTCTGATGAAAATTTAGCATCTAATTGAGAAGTGCATTAAGGGCAAAAAATACAAACTAGAATTCAGATTCAGTACAAAATTTTAAAATAGTTCATTAATAATATTTATAGTAAGTACATATTAAAATGATATTTGCCTTATTGGTTTAAAGAAAATATATTATTAAAATTAATTTCATATCACATTTTTTATTTTACTTTTTTAAAATCCTCACTTGAGGATATATTTTTCATTGATACTAGGAAGAGCAGAAGGGAGAGAGAATGTGTGTGAGAAAGAGAGAGGAGAGAGAAAGAGAGAGAGAGAGAGAGAGAGAGAGAGAGAGAGAGAGAAACATTGATGAGAGAGAAACATTGATCAGTTGCTTCCTGTACATGCCCAGATCACATGCCCATGAGCCACACTGGCCAGGGAAATTTCTTATTACATTTTTACTCTATGGATACTAGAACATTTTAAATTACATATGTGACATACATTATATTTCTTTTGGACAGTGTTACTCTAGAGTGTCTATGCATTAATATCTTATGTAGCCTAGACGAGTTGATGGTTTCCACACATGTGGTCTGCATTTATTGTAATTATTCTAAGGCATTTTGTAATTTTGTGATTTTATTGCTATTGTGAATGGAGTGTCCCCTTGGTTCTTGCCCAATACATTATTCCCCATCTCATTTGCCAGATTGGGTACAGAATGACAAATAAGGTTAGTAGATAAAAACCAAATCACACCTTTATTATTTAGGTCAGAGATCAGCAAAATGCAGCTTGCAGGGCCAATCTGGCTCACCACCTATATTTACAAATAAAGTTTTATTCAAACTCAGCTATCCGTACCCTGGCTCATACCACAAAAGGCTGCGGGTTCAATCTCCATTCTGGTGCATTTGGGGGCAACCAACTGATGTTTCTCTCTCCCTTTCTCTCTCTCTCAAATAAATAAAGCTCTTCCTCAGGTGAGGATTGAAACAAAAAAAGAAACTCAGCCATTTTCTCTTGCTTATGTCCTGTGTGTGACTTAGGCAGAGTTGAATAGTTGTGACAGAGTCTGACCCTCAAAGTAGAAATATTTACTATGTAGCCCCATCCAGAAAATGTTTGATGACCTTTGATTTAGATACAGCCCTAAATAAAATAATTTAAGAAATAGCAACAGATTCTGAAAAAGGAATTAGAGAAATATTTTGGGCAACGGTGGCATGGGTGGAATTAGCCTTAGATTTCCGAAGATGAATCGTTTGAAGTGGACAGCAGGCATATAAATGACTAAATGTGGGGCTTAGTTATAAAGTAAATCAGACTGGGATGGATCTCAAGGGAGCGATGCTGAGGGAACAAGCTAGTCTGAAAAGATTACATACTGTATATTTCCATTTCTATAACATTCTTGAGATGACAGCCTTCTACAAATGGAGAACAGATTAGTGGTTGCCAGGCATTAGGAGCTGGGGGAGGGAGGAGGTTGTTGTGATTATGAAGGGGCGACATGAGGGATCCCTGCAGTGATAACATTTCCTCTGTCTTGGCTGTGGTGGTTACATGAATCTTCACAGACACACACATGCTCACACACAATGAGTGCCTGATAAACTCATTGTTCAACACGATGAGTGAACCTAACACTGGTGGACTGTATCAATGACGACTTCCTGGGTGTGATACTGTGCTACAGGAATGCAAGATGTCACCATGGGGGGAACTGGGTATAAGGAATATCTCTACATTTCTTATAACTGCATGTGAATCTACATTAGCTCAAATATGTAGTAAAATATACACAGAGAAAGAGAGCTAATCATATTATTTCAGACTTTGTGCTATCTATGCTAATAAAAGGGTAATATGCTAATTAGAACAGGTCAACCAGACATCTTCTGGACGTCCAACCTCCTTCAGGACAGTTAGGGGGTGACGAGGCCAGCAGTGGGGCAGTTAGGAGGCAGCCAGGCTGGCAGTGGGGGGAGGCAGTTAGGGGGCGACCAGGCCAGCAGGGGGGCAGTTAAGGGGTGACCAGGTTGGTCAGGGAGCAGTTAGGGGGCAATCAGGAAGACAAGTAGAGGCAGTTAGGGGCAATCAGGCAGGCAGGTAGGCAGGTAGGCAAGCGGTTAGGAGCCAGTGGTCCTAGATTGTGAGAGGGATGTCCGATTGCTGGTTAAGGCCCCACCCCACAGGCGGACATCCCCTGAGGGGTCCCAGATTGGAGAGGGTGCAGGCCAGGCTAAGGCCCCCCCCCCCACGCATGAATTTCATGCACCGGGCCTCTAGTGAAATGTATAAAATGCAACAAACGTGGAAGAGGGTATACGGGGTGTGTTTTGTGCAGATGCCAGTCCTCACACAGCACCAGTGCCCGCCGTGGGCACTCACTCAGGTGGGACTGGACAGCTGCCCTGGTGGAGCGAGGATGTTCACTCAGCCCACCTTTCTGCTCGGCATCACGGCATGGCTCCCACTGAAGGGAACTTACAGTTTGTGCTCTTCTCAATGTTCACAGAATCCCAACCGAGCCAAGCTGAATAACATGGAAAGAAACTGGGCTTTGCCATCAGACAGGCTGGAATCCGAGTCCTAGACTTACTACTTATAAAACGTGGGACCTCACTTTCCTCAGACGTCAAAAGGGAACAAATAATCCCTATGGCCCAGGTGACCATGGGACTAAGGTAAGGTGATGCATTTCTAAGGTGCTCAGTAATTGTGAGTTACTCTTAGTCCCTGGTGACCCCAGGCTGGCTGCATCCCCTGCCTTGAGGCTGAGTTGATTAGGGCTAGGGTTAGGTTAGGGCGGAGATGCCTGAACAGAGCCTGGCATCTGTCCGCTTCATGGAGGTGCTGTCCCAGCCTCTCAGCACCCCCACACCAGCCCTAGGGCCTCCAGAGGAGCCCACACCCAGCCGGACGCGCTGACAGGGCAAGGGAGCTCAACTGAGTCAGAGAAGCTCCCAGGATCTTCCTGTTCCCTCACATGGGGAGGCTGAGCCCTCGCAGCAGCAGGTACTGGCTCAGCTCAGTCTCTGCAAAGCCATCCAGCAGCCAGGAAGGGGGAGCTCTTTCATGGGGGGCTATGTTCAAACAGCTCCCCGATGAACCCCAAAGAGAGCCCTGGGGACAAGGGTCTGAGACAAACTCGGGAGATGAGAACATGCCTTTTTCCAGGGCTGGTACTGACCTTGATGCCTCCCCAGGCCTGATGGGAGAGGAACTCCACGGGGCTGGTGACGCCGGCCTGCACAGGGGATCGCAGCAGGAAGTCCAGCTCCGCCGCCCCAACCGCCTGGTTCAGGAGGAGGATCTGCATGTGGACGATGATACCGCGTGTCTTAGCTGGTGATGGGCACAGGGTCCGGAGGGCCTCGGGGTCGTCCCTCCGTGTAACTGCTGCTACTTCTAGCACTAACGCTTGCCCATCAGTTTGGATTGTTAGAAGCAGGTGGCGTGGAAGAAGGTGTATATCTGTGCAAACACTCCTGTGTACATCTGCTCTCTCCCTAAAATCAGCAGGACTTAAATGCACCCGGCGAATGACTATAAACTTGGAAAGCAAGAGTTTTATGTATCAGTCATACGTGCCATGGGATACATTCCTGCCATCTATTGAGAAGATGATACACCCAAATGATGTGATTTGAAGAGTGTGTCAAAGTAACGTATGGGTATATGCAAAATAGAAGTGCATATATGAATCAACAGTGCTACGGGGCTTCTCGGGGAGGGGCGTGACCAGGGAGCAGGGCTGGGGGGATTGATGTGACGAAACTTTCTGTAAGTGCTTTGAACTGGGTCATGGAGAAGCTGAGAGACAGTGATACTCAGACAGGGAGGGAAGGCTTTCAGGGAGGAGGCACTGAGAGTGCAGAGCTCGGACGGAATTGGGGAGGTGTGCAGGGCGTTCCCCTCATCTGAGCTGAGAGTCATGCTGAGAGCTGCTTGGGAAATTGTTCTCTCCTCTTCAAGGTGTGTTCTCTGCTGAGGAGTTACAGATGGAAATGTTCACTAAGAAAAAAATAATTCAGTCAATTTGAGGAGAAGACTCTAAGGCGATAGGCTAGCAATAATAGATGAGGCAGACAGGCCCGTGCAAAGTGAGGCTGAAATATTGACGAGGAGAGAAGAGTGGAAGGTGGGGAATAATTGGTGGGAGGGAAGTCGGTCTATGCTGGGCTCTGAGGTGCTTTTGCGGAGTGGGGAGCGCCTAGGGTGAGGGACAAGCCACACGAGCTCCCCCATGAGTTCAGTCCTTGAAACGCACAGTCAGCACAGAAGTGACCCTCGAAGATCTGGCTTTTAGAACTGGAAGAGGCCTCGAGATCATTGGATTGGAACTCTTAATTCATATGTGGAAAAAATTCCCAATGCTAACTGAGTACAAGGAAATACGTTTTCTTTTCTTTTTTTTCATGTTAAGAAGTAATAAAAGACAAAGGTTTCTTAATAACACCAGTGGTTCCTCGTGCTCCCAGACCCTGGAAAACCATGGTCCTAAAGGACACTTTTAAGGTCAAGGCTGCTATAACTATAGACAGACATTTGCAATTTCTTATTCCAGGGGAATGGTGGGACATTAAACTTAAACCCTACAAGTAAATAATTACTGAGGAATACTCTAGACCAGCGGTTCTCAACCTTTGGGTCGCAACCCCCTTGGGGGTCGAATGACCCTTTCACTGGGGTCGCCTAAGACCATCGGAAAACACCTATATAATTCCATATTGTTTTTGTGATTAATCACTATGCTTTAATTATGTTCAATTTGTAACAATGAAATTGGTGGTCACCACAACATGCGGAACTGTATTAAAGGGTCGTGGCATTAGGAAGGTTGAGAACCACTGCTCTAGACAGTTCTTGGTGCGTCTCAAGAAGTGTCTAGTCATTGCTGTGGCACCCGCTTCCTCTCTGGCGCCGGTTTGGGTTGATGGGGAGTGGCTGCTGAGGGCTCTGGGGAGCAGGACCTCAGGTCACGCAGGACCAGCGAGGAAAAGGACAGCGACTGATGAGTGGACAATGAGGCAGCAGCACGCAGGCCCCCAATGGGACCTTCCGGTCTGACCCCTCTGCTTGGAGCTCAGAGTCCTCACATGCTATGGGAAATGATGTTAAAGGAAGAAAGTTTTTTGTTTTGTCTTGTTTTTACATTTGCTGATTGGGCACTAGAAAATGACTGGTTTTCTGGAAACTTCCTCAATTCACTCTTACCTGAAAGGTGAGCTGAGCAAGGTAAGTCAGCTTATCACACTCGAAGAGCCCGCGGGTGGTGTACTGGAACACGGAGAAGGTGATGCTGTCCATCAGGCTGGCCACGCGCTGCGGGAGACTCTCGTGGGGCGCGGCCTTCTCCACCGCCCTCTGGAAGACGCTGCTGAAGGCCTGGGGGCGGGAGGCGGGGGCAGGGGGGGCGGTTACACAGCTGTCAGTTCCACTCTAGTCTGACCTGTGAAGAACATCATCACTCCCGAGTCACAGAACTACTTTCCTAGCACCTCCTGCCGAGAAGGAACAGCAGCAACAAGAACATTCTGTCTTTGTTTGCTGTTTGCTTCGTTTGCTCATATGAATTACCATGTGGTCTCAAAGTGGGCAAAGCTCTGAGGCACGCAGAGAAGAGCCTAAGTTTTGATCAGGGAAAAATAAATGTCCAGTGGCCAAAAGAATGAAATCCAGTAAGTTTTGTTGTGTAACTACCCGATAAAAAGTTGATACAGTCAACAATAACCAGCTGGGATTAATTATTCCACCCACTGGATTATAAAATTCTTGAGGGTAGAACCAATGTTTTGTACAACTTCGTTGTCCAGAAGAGACCCTTGTACATAACGGGCACTCAGAATGTTTTTAATTAGATGTTATATAATAGACTGAGTCATTGAAAAAATCAAAACATCATTGGGTCCCTCCCATTGTTGGCTGCAGATTTTTCTTTCCC